CCGAACGAGGTCGGGCGGGTGGGGTGGGTGGATGACTAGCTCGCCTTCCCTCCTAGTCTTACACTGCTAAAGTTAGGGACGGCGTAGCGCAGATAGCCTTGTGTAGCTTTCCGCGAAATTCAAAAACAAACAAACAATATACAAGTAATATACTTTATTTGCAGAAGCTTCGTAATGTACAGAAAAGTTATCAACTTTCCAAACATTTAACCAAGTAGTTTGCGCGCGCTCGTGTGTGTGTGAGACGAATAAACGCACATGAGCGTTTGAGAATAAAAAATACGGTAAGGTTATTATTTTATTTTTTGTTTTTTTCACATTTTATCGAAATAATTTCGTTAAAAATGTGTTTTTCTTCCTATATTAGCTCTTCTATGGTATTAAATCGGGCGTAACCGGAATAAGAAGGTCCAAGGTTTACGTCGCGATGCTGCTGAACACGACAGGCTCTCTCAGCTATGAGTGTGTTATAAAAGTTACAGTCAACCCTTTATTTGATTCAGAGCCTTGTGGCGGCGGGTACTGTTGACTGGCTACTTTTTCTCTAGTCAGTTGTTTAAAACTAAAGAAAGCTACACTTGAACCATGCGGGTGGGGGTCTCTGGCCGGGTCATTTAACCAAGGGCTTCTCGAACTAGGGGTCGCGTAAATATTATTGTGGGTTGCAGAAACAGTTGAAAATCTTATAATTTTTTTGATAAATAATTAGGTAACTACAGTTTTTTTATCTCTTATACAAAAATGCACTCCTTATGGTGCTTATATATTGAAAAATGTATCAATGGTATTATTTTGTTGTTGATGATGAATTTGCTTTTTTTACGTTTTTGTAATATATTTTCAGTAAATAAAGTTTTATTTCTTTATTTTTTCCGTAATAAACACCATAAAACTTATATTATGAATACCTTGCAATCTTTGGCAAGTTACATCATTACTAAGACTCGAGATTGTTTATTATTGGAAACTCGCAAATTACATCAGAATGAGTAATAAGTTTTATATTATTATAACCGCAACACTTGTAAAAGGGTTGTGTAGCTAAAAAAAGTTAGTAATATATTTCGTTCTGTTTTAATTTTAGCTTCGAGATTGTTTATTATTGGAAACTCGCAAATTACATCAGAATGAGTAATAAGTTTTATATTATTATAACCGCAACACTTGTAAAAGGGTTGTGTAGCTAAAAAAAGGTTAGTAATATATTTCGTTCTGTTTTAATTTTAGCTTTAAAAGCAATATTTGTAACATTTAAAAAAATGTTTACTGTTTGAATTGAATTTGTAACTCTTCTCTCGGAGCTTTTGGCAACCCTGCTGCCTCAACACGTCCGCGAACGTTTTAGGCTAGTTGCATCAGGCGTGTTTGTGTAACGGAAGTGTCTATTTGATCTTTCATTATTATTTAATTATTAATAGCGATCTTGGTCAAGATACGTACAGTTATTTTGATTTTTTTATTTATGTGAAATCGGAAAGATCTTGTCCATGGATAAGTGGTGAAATTTGTCAAAGGCCGCAGATAATGCTGAAGCTATGTATCTTGCAGTACCGGGATCATCCAGCAGTAACACGAATTTGCAGATAGATAAAACTGCAGATATTACGCATTCGCGCGCAAAATAGAGGAAATGCAATGAAACATTTTTGCAATGTGGTTTTACATTTATTTCCAGAAATAATGAACACCGACCTGTCTGCTTAATTTGTAATGAATGTTTGGCGAGTGAAAGCCGGAAACCTGTAAAATTAAAAAAACATATTGATACAAGACATGCTTGCTATGTCAATAAGCCTGTATTGTTTTTTGAAAGGCTACTGAAATCATCGAATGAACAAGAGCAATCTCTTGAAAGGCAAACCACACACCACTGGCGAAGAACTTGTGTTACCAGTGGCAGTTAGAATGAATGAAATTATTCACGGGCAAAAACATGCGAACGAATTAAGAAAAATTCCACTGTCAAATGATACTGGGGCTAGACGAATTTTGGAAATTAGCAATAACCAGTTTGAGCAACTTATTGGAAGATTTTTGTTTTTGAATTTCGCGCAAAGCTACACAAGGGCTGTCTGCGTTAACCGTACCTAATTTACCAGCGAAATACTAGAGGGAAGGCAGATAGTCATCACCACCCACCGCCAACTATTGGTCTACTTTTTTACCAACGAATAGTGAGATTAACCGTAACATTATAACGCCTCCACGGCTGAAAGGGCGAGCATGTTTGGTGTGACGGGGATTCGAACCCGCAGACTGCGGGTCGAGCGCCCTAACCACCTGGCCGGGCCCTTAATCAAAGAACTAAAGAAAGTTCGAAATTTTCAATTCAGCTGAATGAATCGACTGACATTACAAACTTGGCGCAACAAATGTCAGATAATGTTACGATAACAGTGTCCACGAAGATTTACTGTTCTGTCCGTCGTCAGATGGACGTCCAATGGACGAAGCAGTTTTTCAAGGAAGTAGGGCTAGAATGGAATAACTGTGTTGGAGTATGTACCGTCGGTGCAGCAGTAATGACAGGAAGAATAGTTGGATTTCAAATTAAAGTTAAATCTGCAACCAATGGACCTACTACTTTCACTCATTGCATGATTCATCGAGAGGCATTAGTGGTTAAGAAAATGTCTGCAGATCTGAATGCGGTACTACAAGATGCGATTAAAGTTATCAACTTTATTAAAAGTCGTGCACTTAATAGTCGCCTCTTTGCAAGTTTATGTGACAAAATGGAATCCAATTTCAGCACACTTTTACTTTAGTAGTCAGAAGTGCGATGGCTGTCAAAGGGACGAGGTTTGAGACGGCTATCAGAGTTTAAAAATAAAGAAATACTATTTCTTTCTGAAAATAACTCAGATTTAGCCGATGTTTTCACAATGAAAATTGACTGTGCTAATTATGCTATTTGTCAGATGTGTTTCAGAAATTCAACGAACTTAATATGTCTCTGCAAAGGGAGAACACGAATATTTTTACACTGAAATCTAAAATTCGAGCGTTCATGAAAAAATTAAACACATGGAAACATAAAATGGAAAATGATTCATTCGAAATGTTTCATATACAGTGGATTTTATTGTTGAAAATAAGTCGAGTTGTGATTTGATTAAGCAGATCATAATTGATCATTTGGTATTCTTGGAAAACCATTTCCGGGAATATTTCCTATCAGAATTAGACAATAATCAATTTAGATTGGATACAAAAACCATTTATCGTGGAAATGGAGCAGGTGAAACATCTCTCGTTGAAAGCTCAGGAAGAATTTGCAAAACTTTCGTGTGATTCAAACCTCAAACTTGAATTTTCAGAGAAAAAACTTGAACGCTCTTTGGCATGGTGTTAAAGCTGAATTTCCAATACTGTCAGATGGCAACTCTTCTGCCATTTGTCACCACCTATTGACGGCAATTGAAACAAAATACCGCTCAAGTCTTAAGAATTTCGAAATTGCTTTGAGACCAGCGCTGACGAATATTAAGCCACGATTTGACTTATTGTATCAAAATAAGCAATCACGTCCACCCCACTAAAGATAATATTATTTCTTATCTTTTTTTAGTCTTTAGTAAAAAATTTCTTTGGTATTTACTTGTTTCTACGTTTAGTTACTGTTAGATTACGACTAAGGACTATTTATAAACAGTGTTAGTACCTATTGCTTTTATGACATTGAGTAAAGGGTCGCGAAAACTTTGTCTGATTCAAAGGGGTCGCAAATGAAAAAAGTTTGAGAAGCCCTGATTTAACCTATGTGCGCATAAGTAGACGTTCAGGTATGTGTATTGACATAGAGAAGCATAGAAACATCATTAAGGATATAGATATTTAGTCACAAAAACAAACATGTTCTCTGCGTTGATGTTCATTATACATAAATTATATTTGTAGGAGAATATAAATTTGTATTACGAGTTTTTCAAATGTTACATTTAAGGTTGAATTTTACGGCTTCAATGTTTATTAGGTTAGAAGGGGAAAACAACATTTTGCTGTGTTATTTATATGTTTAAAACTTGACGTACGCGTGTATAATAAGCTTGTTTTTAAGATTTACAATAGTATTTCAGGAACACAAGCAATGTATACTGTTTCAAACAAAACTAAAATAATTATAGTGAAAAAACAACAAAAGTATGAATACGCTCAACAGGAAACAAACTTCCAAAAAATTGAAGACTGCTTATCATATTTTTAGGTACCCCGATGGGACAGCGGTAAGTCTTCGGATTTACAACGCTAACATATGGGGTTCGATCCACCTCGGTGGACACAGCAGATAGCCCGATGTAGCTTTGCTATAATAAAACACATACACACACGTATTTTCAGAAAAAATTACGTTATCCAAATTTAAATTTACGGTACGTACCAAAATAATGCAATAAGTTATGTTTTAGCCTCGTCTGTTATTACCTGGAAGAGTTTTTACTACCTCTAGAGCCCCCCAGTGGCACAGCGGTATGTCTGCGGACTTACAACGCTATAAACTGGGTTTCGATACCCGTGGTGGGCAGAGCATAGATAGCCCGTCGTATAGCTTTGTGCATAACTACAAACAAAACTACCTCTAGCATTTGTGTAAGAATAACAGGTTTTTATAAGTATATATTAAAATCATGTTCAAAAACTTTCTACTCCATTACAACAAATTCTGAATAGCTATTAAAAGTTTAAATAAAGATATTCCAGAGTCAAGACAGAATATGCCGAAATTAACCACACTTTATAAGGATGATGTACTGTGTCCAAAACTGCCCCTGGAACAACTTCCTTTACTTTCGTCGATTGTGCTTAGTCAATTAGTTATGATTACGCACTATTATTCGACACAGCAGTTATCGTTATATCTTGTTTGTTTGTTTTTTGAATTTCGCGCAAAGCTACACGAGGGCTA